TTTCAATCAAGATCTTTTATACTTGCATTTAAGATTGTCAGCAAACGAAGGGAAAAATAAAAGAATCTGAGAGTTCAGTGCCCTGTGAACAAATTAATAATGGCAGAGGATAGTGCTGGACTGTAAAAATTAAATCTAATTCATCCATGCATCACAGGCTTTAATCTGTTTGCATCCTTCCATCCTATGTAGGTAAAAATACAGTAAATTGCTTCTATTTTTTACTTATATTTTCAGCCATTTTATATTTGTGAATATTTCATTACCTGGCAGTAGGGGGTTTTGTTTATTTTTAACATTGAACTTAAATTTGAGGTAAATAAGAACTGATTAGTGATGTTTGTTTATAAGGGCTAAATTTCAGTCCTTTAAGCATTTATTATTTTTCTGGCTGCTGTTTTTTTTAGCAGTGGAACTTCATGGTTTCTGGTACATTAAATTGCTTCAATCACATACTGTACTGACATCTTTTCATTACAGTGATATCAAATGTGGCGTTCTAGTTTTTAAATGCTATTTTCAACTCAATTTTGTATGGAAGGTTGCAGATTAAAATATGAATCAGGTTACAAAATGAATGTCCATACTCAAAGTCCATACTTATTGAAGGCAAATAAATGTTGTACAATGATCTAAAATAAAAAATACAGTTGTAACTGTCCCATGATTTATGCAACGGTGACTGATGTAGAGCAGGAGGGTAAGCTTTTCCATCCCCTAAATTTCTTGCCCATATATTTCCAGATGGCTAGTTCATTTTACCACCTGGTTTACCTCCGATTTTCATGGGGCAGGTTCCAAGTGTAAGATGCCAAAAGTAATGCTTGGATTTTTAAGCTAAAAACAATTATTTGATCAATGAGTAGCAGAAGCATTTACTTTGTTCCAGTCAAGGATGATTTTACCTTCCAAGTACATCCTTTAGCCTGACTTAGTGGAAGTCTTTCCGAAATGAAAAGCTCATTATTTAAGAATGATGTTCCATTTTGTGCTTAGAGGCTTAGTAATTTTCCTGCTGATTTGGTTGGGACCTGTCTTGGGTCAACAGCTTCAAAAATTTATTTTGAGCTGCCCATGATCTCTTCTTAATGTACATTACCCCTCATACTCTGAAGGCTGCCTTTTTCTGAGGGCTGCATATTTGATCTGACCTCCCCATCTCCCCGCTTTGCTTTTCTAGATTGTGATTTCTTTTGCCAGTTGTACATATCAGGGATTTGATCTTGCAAAATGCTAACAGTCGTTAATTCCCACTAACCTCAATGAGAATCAAAAGCACTCAACATCTCAAAGGTGTTTAGTACCTTGCAAGATTGAGTATTGAATTTGGGACTTTGTTTTGCCCATAAAACATCATTTTAAGTGCCTGTTGGTTATTAATGAGCTTCAGTGTAGGTATCAAGAATACTCCTTCATACTGAGGCATCTAGATGGGGGAAAAATAATCTGATACAGAATTCTAGAAGCTGTGCAAAAAAAAAAAAAAGACGA